GGGGGGGGAGGGGCAAGAGCTCAATATTGCAGAGATCCCCAATTCACAAGAAAATCGCCATTTATCTCCAAAATTATCTGCAAAAACAACTACCATTTTCACCAAAATATATACTTCGGAACTACACAACAAACAATTCACACCCAAAGAAGAAGACCCAAAATTTGGAGATAAAGCAGATTTAGCTCAAAGAATTACAAAAAAAACCTAGTTGGAGCTTTTGCCTGAATACCTAAACCATGATTGGCATCTCAGTCTCCACAGCCCTCTTTGCAAGTTTTCCATATGAACCCATCTCGCCAACCAAACCCAATCCTCACAAATGATCTCCAAAATTATGCTTCAAGGATAAAACCGCCACCTACCCAAGGCTTGGGTATAGATTAACAGTCGAAACGGAAGAGAAGGGTGGTGATCGGGGCTTGGAGAAGGCAAAGCGGTCGAAGAGCTCCAACCAGGAGCGGCACTCAGAGAGGCCGTTGTGGAGATTTTCCGAGATGAGGTTGAGGAAGGCGCAGAAGGTTGGGGTGGCGATTGGAGCTTGGTATAAGGCGAAGCCGTCGGAGATTGCGGTGGTTGTAGATGTGGTTGAGCTGGAAGAATCGGAGGTGGGGTTGGGTTTGACATTGCTGGGTTTGTGGTTGCTGGTTGGGATTTCTTGGTTTGTAGGGGAGGGGTGGTAGGGGTAAGGGGTGGTCATGGGAGAATTGAGGGGAGAAAGAAATCGAGGGGTGGGGGCTGGGCTCTCAGGATCTTTTTTCTTTAGTGTCTTTTTCTTTTTTTCTTTTTTGGTTCAATTTTTCTCTTTTTCTTCAATTTTTTTTTCCAAAAAGAAGGCGATGAGTGACCAAAATAACCCTCAAAAGAGAGTCAACGTGAGTCAAATGGACGGATTAATGGATGAAATGTTCAAATTTTGATGATGGGGAACATTGATAATAAAATTTAATTCGAACCCTGAATTCGCTAAAAAAAAGGTCATTGGGTAAATTGAGAGTTATGTACAAGTTCAGGGGGCAATTCAGCAGATTACCCATTAAAAGAATATTAAGCCTTTTAGTAAATTGGTCAAAGCAAAAATCCACTTTGGAGTGGGTCTCAACTGGAAAACTAGATTACCGCTCTATCCTAATCCAACAGTCCTGATCTCTTGGACTACAGGGGTTCAAGAGATTTGTGGTCACTCATCGTTGGATGTAAATTCAACGGTTCACTCATTCTTGCACTCCTTTTAAGAAACTTTTTTGAACCATTAAATTTACATCCAACGGTGGGTGACCACAATCTCTTGGACTCTTGTGGTCCAAGAGATCGGGACTACCTAATCCAAATAGGAGTTTATACGCAAATATATACACGTAGAGCACAAAACTTTTTGCAACTCTCAATCTCTAATTGCTGTTGGGGGATTTGAATGTCTGCAGCATATTGTCCGAACAAAAATAATGGTTGAGAAAGCATATCCACTGTTTCATGTTCTACCATTTTTTCCATCTCAGCAGAAAGCTATCTGTGAAAAATACTTGGGTCCTCGAATTACCTGCAAGCCCAACAAACATAAACCAAATTTTTAACAGGCAACAAGGCCGCATGCCCAATCTCGCGAAAAGCCCAATTAATAAGTCTGACTTTTTTATGGAACTCGTGGCAAGGAAGAAAATAATTCATTAGGTTCTGGCAAACCAAAAAAAGAAATAATTCATTAGGGTTTTATCATTAGCACATCACATCACCGCATATAAATACATGTAAAAACAATACTTGGAAACTCTGTGATCAAATCCGAATATCGTCAATGGCAATGGCAATGGCTTGCACCACCGAAAGAAAAACAACACCACCAAATAGAAATAGGTGGGCTGATGAGCTCCTACTTGAACTGTTTGAGTTGATCTTGAAAAAGCTCGCTTCAAATGTCCTCGACATCATTCGGTTTAAAGCCGTCTGTTCTTCCTGGAACCGCGCTGCTGCAAGATCGTATACCTCTGCCCCCTTGCCTCAATATCCATGGCTCATGCCCTCCATCCCCAAGACCCCTCCTATTGATCATGAGAGCAGGTGCTTCTTCAGCCTTGCAGAGAATAAGGTTTACAAGATGGACTGGAACTGGAAGAAAACGTTTCATGGCGATGGTGTTTCCCGTTTGGGTTCATCACATGGGTGGCTGGCGATTAAGGAGGTGAACACAGAAAAGAAAATCTACAACGAATATAAAGAAATCGTTCATCTTTTCAATCCAATTTCTAGAGAACGCTTGACGCTTCTCTTGGCGCCAAAAATGACTAGAACTGATAAAGTTGTGCTTTCCTCGGACCCCTCCCACAACAACAACTTTGTAGTTGTGGTAATTCATAGTCGCTTCTTCGAAGGGACAGGGTTAGCTTTCTATCAGCATGGCAGAGGAGGAGACAACGCTGCTGCTTGGACTAACTTATCACATGGGAGTAGCTGTGCGGATATGGTATTCCACAATGGTCATTTATTTACACTGTCCATCGTCCACACAATTCAAGTTTGGGACTTCAGGGGCACCCATGATAATAATAATTATCCCATGAAGATCATGAATTTTCGACCTTCCATCGATGGGAATGTCAATAGCATGGCGGTTGATGAATAGTTGGTGGAGTCAATGGGTGAGCTTTTGCTTGTGGGGCAAGAACGGTTGGGGAATGATACCAGAAGAGCAGTGAAATTTTTTGTCTACAAGTTAAATATTGCTGCCAAAACATGCGAGCAGGTGGAATCTTTGCTTGATTGTGCTTTATTTTTGGCCAGAAATCAATCCGCAATGTCATTCTCATTATCCACCAAAGAGTTGCCAGGATTGAAAGAAAACTCGATTTACTTCACAGATTTGGATCATGTGCTTAAGCTGAATGAGAGTTGTGGTGAGGGACGAGTATACAACTTAGAAACTAAAGCTATTGAGACATATTATCCAACTCAAGCGCCTGTGAGCAATCAATATTGGAATTCACCACCCGTTTGGATTGTGCCTAGTCCATGGTACTAATGTTAGTCTCTCAGTCTCGACTGTTTTTGTTTGTGCTTATAAATATGTTGAGCACTTTGTTTACACCATAATCAACCGAGCATGTCCAGCCTCAAAACGGCTAACACCAAGGCAGACATGCCTCCTCCCATGCCGAAGGAAGACACCCTTCCAAAGTGCCAGACCTGTGCCGAAGCATCCGACTGCTGAAGCTCCCGATTGCTAAACCTAACCTCCATGACACGTGTCACCACCACAACGACTGGCACAAAGTCCCATATCGGAAATGTACACAAACCTCCCACTTTCACTTCCCTATAAATAGGGAACAGTGCCCTAGTAAAAAGGGTAACTAATTTCTTACCTTTACCGTTACTCTGCCAAAGTTACTACTTATAGCTGACTTAAGCATCGGAGAGCCTTCGGCCGGCACCACACCGGTGTCCGAAGCTTAACGACTGCTTCTTCCACTTTGTCTTCTGCAGGGTACCTAGCTACTGAAGGTCCTAGCCACTTTCCCTGCTGAAGACCCAAGTCTTTTATCTAAGTTGACCCTCTACCATTTTGAGCCTCAACAGTTTGGCGCCGTCTGTGGGAATCGACTTCTGAATCCCAGCTATCTCTACCAGCACCGCTGGCTCCTTCTCCTATCAGGCCCCGCCGCCTCTTCTTCACCCCACATTCAGCCATGCCGAGCGAAGCCAGCCATGGTACCCAGCGCCATACCCCCCTTGGCGACTCCTCCCGAAAGAAACCTTTAGCGGAGGGGGATCTCCTATCATAGCGCTCCCATTCAGTCTGGGCCTGACAAAGGCAAAGGCCATCTCTATCCGGAGACAACCAAGTCGCGATTCCTCCACATCTCCCCATCGAGGGATCGACCCCATAGCCCAACAAAAATCTATAAAGATTGCCGGGACCGTATCTCAGAAAGGCGGAAGAAGCCTATCCTCATCAATGTCGACCTTGATGACCCCAAGGTGACACATCTGGGCCCCCCACCGACGCCCACCCGCTTACCCAACACGGAGGGCGCGGGGGACTCAGATGACTAGGAATCTTACTATCCCGAAGCCTGGGAGTCCTACCATTCCGAAGACTTCGGGCAATGGGAAGATTACCCACCACAAACCACACCACACCACACCACAGGCCTTCAGCACACGACGCTCTTCCACATGCTGACCCAGCTATGTGCCTCCTCTTCGAGAAGGTCCGACGCCTGGAGAGCGAGCAGCATCGCAGTCACCAGCCCCTCTGGGCAAAACCGCGACCTGGCCCCTTCACCGAGCGTATCCTCAACTATCATCAGGAGAAAGACATTCAGCCACTTCGTATTACCTCCTACGCAGGCACAGAGGACCCCCTCACCCATATCCATTCCTTCCAGTCCGCCCTCGGATGCAAGGGCCTTAGTGACGAGGGCATGTGTCTCCTTTTCCCTTCTACCTTCAGTGGCGCAGCCCTGAATTGGTTCTACAGGTTAAACCCCCGAACTATCAACTCCTTTGATAGCTTGAAGCAAACCTTCCTGGATCATTTCATGATCCAGACCGATCGCCTCTACTCCGCGGACGATCTATACATGCTTCGTCAGGGGGAAGACGAACCCCTCCGGGAGTATGCAGCCCGCTTTAGTCATGAGTACTCTCGCTGCCCGGATACCGATGATCGGGCTGCCTTCGGCGCCTTCAAGAGTGGCCTTAGAGAATCCAACTTCCGCTACCTGGTCCACAGCAACCCATGGAACACATATGCGGAACTGATGAAGCAGGCCGCTGTCCATGCAAAGGCTGAGTACTTTAATTCCAAACGTGGCCCGGCTACCTTGGCACGTGACGCTCATGTTAACCGCCCCCCTGCTCCGGTACCCAACCCAGCCCCACCTCAATATTCTGCTCCCACCCAAGACAACCAGGGTACCCAGCATCCCAAAAGGAAGGATAGCTACCAGCACACCTTCAGCAATGGGAAGCGTGGCAGACATGGCAACCATCACCAGTCCAACGGAAGCAACCCCCCCAGGACAGGTGATCGGGCTCCACTCCCTTTCACACCCAAGCCTAGATTCGAGGTCTTCACCACCCTCAACACCACCTATGAGAATGTCCTGGTGCACGAGGCACCAATGATACCCAAGCCTCCCCCCCGGAGACCGACCAGCAAGCCTATGCCAAACACAGGTGTCTTCTGTCGCTTTCATCAGTTCAGTGGCCATGACACTGAATCTTGTATTTCCTTGCGCAACATCATTGAGGGACTCATCCGTGAGGGGAAGCTGGATAAATATGTGCACAATCTCCCACCCCCACCTAACCCTCACCAACGGCAAATCAACATGATTTCCACCATCAGTGGTGGCCCTACGTTGGCTGGCACATCCAATAACTCCATCAAACATTATGTCCGCTCCACCTATGCGCACCAGGTCTTCAACACCGTGCAGGGTCGCCTGCCGAAGACCCAGAAATCAGGCTAGGCCCCCATCACCTTCAGCGAGGAAGAGGAGCGTGGTGTCATTCTGTCCGCTCCACCTATGCGCACCAGGTCTTCAGCACCGAGCAGGGACGCTTGCCGAAGACCCATAAATTAGGCTGGGCCCCCATTACCTTTAGCGAGGAAGAGGAGCGTGGTGTCATTCTCCCTCATGACGACCCACTCATCATCCGGGCGGACATCTCTAACTTCGATGTTGGGCGTATCCTGGTGGACACTGGCAGCTCGGTCAGTGTGATGTTTGCTGACGCTTTCAACGAACTCCAGGTCCCTACTCACTTGCTGGACCGAGGTATCACACCTCTGGTGAGCTTCTCTGGCGATATTGTCCAGCCCATTGGAAGCATTCACCTCCCTATCTCCATTGGCTCAGCACCACGGCGAGCAACGGTCACCACTCCCTTTCTCATCGTTGACTGCCCCACAGCCTACAATGTCATCCTTGGGCGCCCCGCCTTGGCCCAAATGAAGGTCTTCATTTCCACGCACATGTTGTTATTGAAGTTCCCTACACCCCATGGCACGGGCACGGTGCGTGGCGACCAACTTGGCGCCCGAAGCTGCTATGCCTCAACAGTGAAGTCCACCACTCGCCAGCGTAAGGGTGAGGCCCTAGCAGTAACCAAAGCCCCAGCCCCTCCTCGAGCTGGCACTGAGCGACCTGAGGACCCCAGGGAGGAATCTATCACCCAACTAGCCGAACCTGTGGAAGACCTTGAACTAGTTACTCTTGATGACAACATCCCAGACCGACAAGTCCGAATCGGCACCTCTCTCTCACAAGAGCTTCGCTCTGACCTTGTCGCCTTCCTCCGCCTCAACTCTGAGGTCTTCGCCTGGTCTTACAATGACATGCCCGGCATATCACCAGACGTCATATCCCATCGGCTAAGCATCAATCCTGCAGTCCGACCCGTTCGGCAGAAGCGTCGTGCTTATGACCCAGAGCGATACGAGGCCATGAAGGCAGAGGTGGACAAGTTAAGCAGCATAGGCTTCATCAAGGAGGTAGACTATCCCACGTGGCTAGCTAACGTGGTCATGGTTAGGAAGCCAAAGAAAGGCTGGCGCATGTGTGTAGATTACACTAATCTCAATCGGGCTTGTCCAAAGGATAGCTTTCCTCTACCTAGAATCGACCAACTCGTGGACGCCACAGCATGCCATGCCCTTCTTAGCTTCATGGACGCCTACTCAGGGTACAACCAAATCTTCATGCACCCTGACGACCAAGCCCACACCTCCTTCATTACGGATCGCGGCCTCTATTGTTATAAGGTTATGCCCTTCGGCCTCAAAAATGCTGGAGCCACTTATCAGCGCCTGGTGAACAGCCTCTTCGCCCCATTGATTGGCAACACTATGCAAGTTTACGTCGATGACATGCTAGTCAAGAGTCGTACTGCTGACCAGCACATCACTAACCTATCTGCCATGTTCACCATCCTGAAGCAGTATAGGATGAGACTCAATCCCACTAAGTGCGCCTTCGGTGTGGCTTCGGGCAAATTCCTTGGCTTCATGATCAGCCAACGGGGCATTGAAGCCAATCCAGAGAAGATCCAAGCTATCTTAGACATGAAGATACCAACGACGGTCAAGGACATCCAGAGCCTAACCGGGCGCGTCGCAGCCCTCACCAGGTTTATCTCCAAGGCTACTGATCGCTGCGCCCCCTTCTTCAAAGCTCTCAGGGGCACTAAGCGTACCATCGCCTGGACCCCAGAGTGTGACAAGGCTTTCAACGAGCTCAAAGAGTACATGAGCCGGGCCCCTTTGTTGTCAACCCCTGAACCTGGAGACATGTTGTGTAGATACAGCTTCACCAAAATGGATTCAGTTGCATCCTCAACTTGTGATACTCGCAAGTGCACGAACCGTTCGGTAGTATAGCGTATGTAAGTGCGAGGTCGATCCCACGAGGATTGGTGATTGAATGATTCAATTCATTTTCCCTACACAAAACAGAAATGAAAAAGAAGGGAAATAAATAAAAACAAGGAAGAAAGAAAATAACTAACTCAAGCAGATAAGTTCCCAAGTTCAATTAGATTAACGAATTGATTCTAGCTAATGTATGATTAAGCCATGGTGTGTGGTCATAACCTTGTGTTCCTAATTCCCTAATTTGATCATTTGTTGTCTAACCTAAAATTAAGCATTAGGAACCCATTAAGCATAGAAGAACAATTTAAACAACCAAGCATGTATCTAATCCCTGTTGTCGAATGTCCATACATACTCTTCCTATTCATAGTTCAATTCGAATTAAAGCATGGTGTCTACTCTTAATTCAAACCAAGATAGCTAACATGCAAGCCTAAATGGTGATCAATCATTCAAACTAGCATATTAACTTATAAGCATAATGAATAAGAACAAAAACCATAATTGAAACTTGGAAACTAATCAAACACTTCTCTAGAGCTCCCTTCCCTTCTCCCCCTCAAATTCTCTTAGTTTCCTTTCTAGTTTTCAAATGTTGTAATGAAATATTTGTGCTGAAATTCAACTTAAGTTTTTCAAGTTCTACTTTACTTTTATTTGTAATGTACATTCTTTCTTAAGTATTCAAGTTTAATTAGTTTCCAAGTTTCAATTATGGTTCATGTTCTTATTCATTATGCTTATAAGTTAACATGCTTGTTTGGCATACAACACTTGTTTTATAAAATCTGAAATGGTTGATGCACTTCACTAATGCATACAACACTTCCATTATAAAATCTGATATGGTTGATGCACTTGTATTAGAAAATCTTGAATTGGTTGATGCACTTCAAAAACTTGTTGTGTAGATACAGCTGCACCAAAAAGGATTCAGTTGCATCCTCAACTTGTGATACTCACAAGTGCACGAGCCGTTAGGTAGTATAGCATATGTAAGTGCGAGGTCGACCCCACGAGGATTGGTGATTGAATGATCCAATTAATTT